GTCCCTCCCCACTCAGCGGCTGCGGGGCGGGGCTGGGGGCGGAATATCGTCGTTACTGTATAAAGGCTTAGACTGATTTGTAGAATCTTCTCTGCAGCTTCAGGGATGTGGACTGCAAGAAAGGAGAGAAATGGCTGGGCTGAGAACAAGTGGTTGAGTTCTATCAACGTAATGCGTCAGACCTTCTCTTTGCACCTCAGAAAAAAACCCAAAACAACTGCCCCCTCCCTGGCAGTGTTCAAGACCGGGCTGGATGGGGCTTTGAGCAACCTGGTCTAGTGGAAGGTGTCCCTGTCCACGGCAGATGGGTTGGAACCAGATGATCTATAAGGTCCCTTCCAACCCAAATCATTCTATGATTCTATGAAATGGTTTCTAACAACACAGTCTTCAAGACTACCCTCCGCTTAGTGCTGGAGTCAGCCTTCAGGAGACAGGCTCATTAAACCAGTGCTCGGTGTCATAACCACGCTGATAAACAGCCAAATTAACGTAGGTAAGAAAGGCTGGGGCTAAGTAGACACTGTCTTAACGTGAATCCAGACCAGACGATCGACCTTTCTTCCCTAGGTTGAGTGTGGGAAGGCCTCTCGCCTCTTCGCGGGATCTATGTATTCAAACGCAAACATTAAACCTTCGTCTGTCCTAACCCAGATCCAGCTTGGTGGTTGGATTCCAGGAAGAGGAGCTGCGGCTGCTCTTTAATAAGAATGAGCCACATTTAGGTTCAGTTTGTACCTACAGTGTGAAGGCTGAGTGATCAGCCCCAAAAGCCACTGAAGAGACTGATGACACAGACTCCGATATCCAAAACGAAGACCCTATATTTATCAAAAAGCTGCGTTTTATACCCTTACAAAGCTGTCCACGTGTTCCAGCCCAAATGCTTATTGGTTAACATACGTTGTTTATGTGCCTATTCTAAACACTCAGTTGGCTAGCTTAGCTGTGCATGACTTCTTGGTTTGCTTTGGGCGTTCTGCCAAAGTCCTCCGTTGCACCTGATAACGTCCTTATTTTTCTCTTGTTCAGAAACTCTCAAGGACAGCATGACCTTCGTTGATATAGAATGTTCCCACAAGCCACCAATGCAACTTCTCATAAAGGCCTCTTGTGTGTGAAACTGAATTGGTCCTGCAGGTATCCATAGGTTTGGATGGAGAAGCAGTTACCAGGAAACAGACCAAAGCACAAAAGCATGTGCCGAGAAGGAGCACGAAGGTTTCCCGAGGACTGATAAATTCCAGAGACTGGTAGTCCTGTTCAATCTGCAAGGGCTGATAAACTCCGGGCACCACGTGTCTGCTCAGTCTGTGCAAGGCCGGTATCAACGGTGGGTTGTGAGACTGTAGGGCAGGGGCTGCTACACGCAGGCAAAGACTACAGGAGTCTGTGTACATCCGTCGAAATAAATGACTTTGCGGGACTTTCTGAACACCTGCTTGGAACCCGCTAGTGCGTCAGCACAACCCCCTACTGAATACACAGCTGGGGTTGTCCTTCAGCTGGGTAACTGGCTGATTGTACAAGTGAACTATGAGGGAATAAGTGAATGCTCTGTGTATTATCTGCTCTTAATAGTAACAGCTTCCTAGAGTGAAAACCCTGAGTGCTTCTGGCCGTCTCTTCCTAAACTCCTGTTGCTTAACCAAAGAATTTTTAAGCAAATCAGGGGAATCTATCCCTTCTTTCCATCTTCTCCAAGAGCCCCTCTGTCCTCCTTTTGATTTCTGCATAGGGTCTACTTTCCTCCTTTTCCTTTACAGTCTCTCTCACAGCTGTAGTACTCATGGATCCAAAGCTGGAGGCTGGTCTGAAAGCTCTCCTGAAAGTGTGAACCTTAAGTAATGTAAAAGCACAAACTGCTGATACTCTTATACATCTATATTTGCCTCCACTGGCTTCACTCCGTCTTAGCCATCTCTACGTGGCTAATCTACTCATTATTTCTAGCAGAGTTTTCTGTCTTCCCTCTCACGTTCCAGACCAGATTTCCCTGCTTCTTTCCCGGTTGACTGAGTAGAGACATCGGCGCACCGTTCTGACACCATTTCTTGTTGCTTCTTGCAGCTCCCCGCTAGTCTCCTACACAGCTGGTAGAGCTGTAGTAGTTCACTCCATAGCAAAGGTTATTTCAGGTGCTTTCTCTGAGGCAAAGAGTAGGAGTGGTAGTCAGCATAAATGTTTAATAGGCCCTGAAAGCGAAGACTTTAAGGTGAAGCTCCTTTTGAAGCTACATTTACAGCCTCTGCTCTCCCAGGCTTTGCACAATGAAAGCACCCCGGGCCACCGTGGTGTGGTTTTGGCATGCGCGGTAGTTCCCCCCGAGCACCTTGGATGGTTGTAAACTTCAGAACCCCTTGACTCTCACTTCAAACACAGCCTTTGCCTCACCTTCTCTACCTTCTTAATTTCCTGCAAATCCAGAGCTCTGTGCAGGAGCATCTGGCTCTGATCTTTGATACTCTCCCTCAAACATAGTCCCTCCCTCATTTTTTTTCTCTGCCAAATCAAGCACAAACACCCACATGTTTACTTTCATCATGTTCCATGTGCCTGGAGTGGAATATCACTTGGCTGTAAATCTGGTGTCC